TTGCTCATTGGATCCGCTGTCATTGCACTGCTTAAATGTTTGTGAATTATTCAAGTTATGCTGATTGTGTGGTCCTTATTGGTTGGGGAGGGAGACGGTTGGGTGAAGGCCTCTCATAGTGACCTTAGGTCACTGGTTGCCGAGCTGTGTTGGTGGAAAATGCTCCCAGACGGGCGACTCCATGCGTTGCGTTCGGGCACTCGTGACAGACCGCGCGCTTCGGCCCACACTACCACCTATGCGGTTGGTCTTCCTCTGCGCCTGCGCCCTCCAACAGCGCTGTTCGGTGTCGGCGTGACGACGGGCCTTCGAGATTAAGGCTCGCTCTCGACGTGCGGTGCGCTTTTCCTGGTAATTAGCAGGTTTTACGTTTCCTTTGTTAATCGATTGGGAATGGTACACTTCTATGAGCAAGGAAGGCCTTCAGCTCCGTACTGCTATTATTGGTTCCTATGTTGCAAATAAACGACATTCAGTACCCTTAATCATACTGAAGGCCAGTTAGTTACAGCATGGGAAGGCTAAATTTCTCGCTGATCTTAATATAGCAGGATGATCACGTCTGATGAGACGGCCTACTCGTTAATGTCGTCTATGTTCTACTGATGTAACTTTTAAAGAATTGTGCTTTTTGTACCTCACATGTCCTGCGATGAGCGGCTGCAATGATACTGGCTTCTAGAAGTCGTGATAGTTAAGCAGCACCGGCCTCACCTCTCTTAATTTTTCGTTACGAGGTGTCTTGACACAGTCACGAAAAACACACAGGTGTGTCCCATTTCTGGAAAGCTTCAGCCTTCAGCGAGGCTTCGCTAGAACCTTGCAGTGAGGCTTCTCCCTCCCCTTCCCCACCCTTCCAGTCTCTTCGGTGGCGCTTCTGGGGTCTTTCGCCGCCTTGTGACGTTCCCCGAAGGTCACTAGAGCCATGAAAGCATCAGGTCCCGTCCCCATCTCTGGAGCTCAGATGTGCGCAACAACGGCAAGTCGTAGCCAGTGGTGCAGTGGCGAGGGCTCTCGCCCCGGGGGGTGGTCCAGGTCAAAATGACGCACGGGACCGCCCAGCCCGCCCGGCCAAGTGCGGGCCGGCACAACCGACGACCGCGGCGCCGCCAGCAGCCGGTGTTTGCTCACGTGCCACGCCAAATTGAGGTTGACTTAGCCTGAACGGGCTCGTATTACTCAGGTCACGGTAAATTTACATAAGAATGCATTTCATTGGGGCAAAGTTCACAGTGCCAACCCCCTCCCCCCCCCTCAGCTCCGCTCCGCTCATATCTCCTTTTGAGAAAATGGCGTCGCGCAAAAGCAGCGCGAGGGTGATGTAACGCTTTGGGAATTACGCCTGCTATTTGGGTGGAAGGGAGGGGAGGGGAGGAGGGGAGAGAGAACGGCCGGGCAGCATCGAACCTGTGCCCCTTGCTGCAGCTGTGCAACCACAATCAAATGAAAATCGACTGCAACAGAGCCCAACTCATCGTTTTGCAAAGGCTTCCAGGTTGTCGCACCCAAATTCAAGCGCGATGGATGACGGCACGGTCCATGACACACAGCGCCTCAAAAATAGGCGGGCGGCATTGCTTGGTACGCACCTAACGGGCCACAGCGAACCAGCCGGCCTCAAATCGCGCCGCCATCCATCATTCGCGGTCTGGTGACCTGGACCTGGTGCTGCTGACTTCTGTGTGCGGAAACTCGACTGGGCAATCCACGACCCGTATTGGGCAGCTCCAGCCTCTCGGCTTCGGTCGACGCCCACGTCATTCTGTGCGCGGCGCTCTGTTC